TAAGTAATAGCATAATATCTTTCCAGGTGAGGTCAAACATCCGGCATAAGTTCTAAAACATTTCAATATATGTATTTGGATCTTCCGAAAATCTCCCTGATTTCTTTCTTATCTGTATTAAGTTGGGGAGGGGGGGTCTCCTTAATTTCTTTCCCTTAATAGGTGATTTCTTAAGGCCTTGTTTCATGAGAGTAATTGAGATTAGACCTAATAACAAATGAAAATGAAGCACTTTCCCTGATCATTTGTAATTTTATAGTATGTAGGCTAGTTGATCCATTTTAATGTTATATCTAGAATGCAAAATGGACAAATTAAGAGAACTTCAATCCCTTCTTGAGAGAAGGCCTTAAAATATCTTTATATCTTACAATAGTACCCTCTAAACAAGTCAGTGTCTCTCAATTTTCCTTTGAAAATACAACCAAGTTTACTTTCCAGTGTAGAGAGTACCATACAAAGTGTTACAATAGGTCCAGTCAGAGAACCCTGAACTATATAAATGAATTTTTAATTTGTTATTTTTATATTTTGAATCATCATACAGCTTTAATTTGGAGAACTCTGGTTTTGATTAAATGTTCTCTTAAATCTTGCACTTTAAAGATTCACATTCTTAGGAAGTAGATATAATTGATATATGGAAATTAGTAATAATTTTCATAGTTACTGATTTTTAAAAAATTATTTGTTTTTAATTAGTTTTACATGATAGTAGAATGCATTTATGCACTTTGATATATCATACATAGAAGGGGTGTAATTTCTCATGTAGTCACATATATACGTACAATAATAATGTCTGTTTCATTCTACTATCTTTCCTGTCTGCACATCCCCTCCCCTCCTCTCCCATCACTTCCCTCTGCCTAATCTAAGGAAATGTTAGTGCCCCTGCCTTATTGTGAATTAGCATCCACATATTAGAGAAAACATTCAGCCTTTGGTTTTGTGGGATTGGCTTATTTAGCTTAGCATGATACTCTCCAACTCCAACCAATTACTGCCAAATCCCATAATTTTACTCTTTTTTAAAGCTGAGTTATATTCCATTGAGTTTATGCACCACATTTTCTTTATCCATTGATCTATTGAGGGACACCTAGATTGGCTCCATAGTTTAGCTATTGTGAATTGAGCTGCTA